CACAACATACAACTGAACAACACCAAAAGACATATACAAATAACAATGTAAAACAAATTAAACCAAATAACAATTAAAAACTGTACAACCAGGATATATATATATGTTAAGACCACCAGATTCATAACTCTGCATTCAACCTAATCACAGCACTTGGGTAAAATCTATATTTAAATCTACTTGTCCTGGCTTTCAGCACTCTTTATCGTCTTCCTGATGGTAGGATCTCAAACAACGAGTGGCCTGGATGCGAAGGATCTCTCAAGATCTTTTGTATCTTCCTTCTACATCCCATGTTATACAACTCCTCCAATGAGGGAAGAGGACATCCGCTGATCTTTTGTGCCCTTTTTATCACTCTTTGAAGTGCCCTTTTCTCCGCCTCTGTACAACTCCTAAACCACACACAGAGGCAATAAGATAAAATGCTCTCTATAGAGCTTCGATAAAAGGCAACCAACAGACTCTCTGGCAGTTGTTGTGATCTTAAAAGTCTTAAAAAATACAGTCGTTGATGAGCCTTTTTTTCTAGGGCTAAAGTATTTGCCCCCCATGTTAGATCTTGTTTCAGGGTGATACCTAAAAACTTACATTCTGCCACCTCAGTAATTATCACAATCAATATAATCAGGCCTTGACTTATGACTATAATGGAGCTTGTCTATCACAACCATAAGTTGTGATCTTCATAAAACAGACCTGATTTTATGACTGTTTTCATAGTGGCCATTCATTCATATGATCATGGGGGAAGGAGAACCACCATAACTTCAAATCTTGCTCATATGTAAATAAAGTAAGTTCATCATAACTTTGAACAGCCGGTAAGGGACTGGTCATAAGTTGAAGATTGCCCATATAAACAATCACAACAATAAAATGAAGGCCAATCAGCATTAAAGAGCTGGCATTCTTGAGGGCCATCACAAATTTGGTCTGTTCCAAAGTAAAAGAACTCATTCATCAAATTGTATCAACTTAAATACTTATACAGATTATCAATCTGCTGCTAGTCACAATTCAAGGTTTCTCTTTCAAGCATGAATCTCAGTTTGTTACAATTTTTTACAATATTGTTCACAATCGATTACAGACTGCAGTGGCTTCTTCCTGAACTATGAGATAGTCCTTGACCTATGATTGTAATGGAACCATTAAGCCAGGCACATCCATGCTTTTCCTGATGTGGCCAGTAAATGGAACAGGATCATGGAAGCCCTGGGAGAACTAGAACGGGCTCAGCTCACAAGTGGCCTGCCCTGGACTTTTTCTACTCCAACTCGTCCCATGCTCAGTTTCCTGCCTCTCTGGGTCGCTGCAAACCTCTGGCTTGCTTTCTTGCTCTATCAGTCTCTGCAGGGCTTGGGCTTGCTTCCCACCCTGCTGGGTCCCACATCCTCTTTCCCATGTCCCGTCACGGATCAGTCACTTGCCTTTTACTGTAGATCTTCTAGAAACCATTGCTTCAGTGTGTGGCTTTCCTACACAACGGAAGCCGCATGGCTCCATTTCAGAAGCAGACACTATTTCGGAACAGCCCCAATTAAGTGCAGCTGTTCCCAAATTGGTGGCCATTTCCAGGACGCACTGGGTAAAAACAGCCACACAGCACAATAGCTATTTTGAGATCTACAGCAGTGAGGGCTAACCTTTTCGGCACCAAGTGCTCAAAGCGTGAACATGCATCCCCCAAATGCAATACACGCGCATCCCTCTGCATGCTCCTCGCCCCCCACATGCATGCCCCCCCACATGCCCAGCAGAGACCTGAAGACCAGTTGGCCGGCATGCATGCACAGCAGAGCTGTGATGGGGCGATGGCTCGTGTGCCCACAGAGAGAGCTCTGCATGCCACCTCTGGCACACGCCATCATGGATCTACAGCAGAAGAGATGTCACTAATCAGTGACAGGAGTATAGAGGAAGGTGAGTCTCAGCAGGCTGAGAAGCAGGCCCAAGGCTTGAAGGGACCCTGTGGGGCAGGAGGGAGGTAAGATGATAAGAGCACTGCAGCATCCCTGTGATCAGTTGTAATGGCAGGCAGATGGCCAAGTGCCAGAATTTTATTCATGTGACTGAGGGAGGGGAGATGCATCAGCCATAACTTCAAAAACAGGATGTAAGTAGTCTTGGGGAGGTCAATCAGAACTTTGAAAGGTTGCTTAGCAACCAGTTGTAACTAAATTTCTACAAAATGAATTTCAGATATTCTTTCTCTTCCTTTTAAGTAGAGAAACTTCTCTTTGTTATGACTACATTGTGAAATGAATTATCAGCAGAGGATATCACTGTAAATCTTAGTGTGTGTTTTTTTTCTTTTGCCGTTGCTGGTTGATTGCTACCCAGTCTTTAAGCTATACATACAGAACCAGTGTGGAGTAGAGCTTAACATACGGCCTAGAAAACAGGTTTAAAAATAACAAATTAAATGACGTTGGGACAGTAACTCTTTTTCAACCCAACTAACCACACAAAGTCGTTGTTGTGGGGAAAATAAAAGGCAGAAAACTTATATATGTTTGCTGTCTTAAATTATGTAGTAAAATGGTATAATAGTATGTCAAAATCATCAATTGCAAAAAAGAACTTTACCTGGAACATCTTACATTCTGCAATAATAATTTTAACACCATGGGACAACAATATCTGCCTATCAGGTCTTTGGAAGATTTGATGGGTGAATAAATATGCCAAATCCAATCTAACCATCTGACTGACTATGAGGAGTTATATTCAAAGCATGTTATAAGTAAGTTGGAAAGTCTACTTACCACTTCTTCAGAACTATCTTGTCCCAGCGAGTACCAGTCTGGGCAGCAATAAGCTTCTTAAGATCCCTGATGCAATCATCAGTGCTGAGCAGTAATATTGGTTAAAGAAATGAATGAGAAAATAGGGCCTAGTTTATAGTAAGCACTAAATAAGCTATTTGTTATGCACAACTGCTTATCAAAAACAACTGAACTCTTATAGTGTGAAATGGGAGACAGATGCAGATATACTGTACATTGCTCACAAAAACAGATGATCAAAGGACTTTTATTTGTACTTTCAAAACTATGCACAAATATATCTGCATGATTGACTATAGACAATCCCTGGATTAAGAACATCCAACTTGAGGACCCCTATATATGAACCTATTGTTAAAAATGATGGATAACCGTCTCCTTCCTTGAGCTGACAAAGCACTGAAGCTACGCTGCTTTCAATGCTTTCAGGAACTGCTTAAGCCAAATATATTTAATACAGTAGTTCTCAACTTATGACTATAACAAAGCCTGTAATTCTGGTCATAAGTTGTGACAGTTGTTAAATGGGTCATCACATCACACCTGATTTTACTTTTTGCAGAGGTCATTAAGCAAACCCATTGGGGTATTTTTTTGCTGGGAACTGGAAGTTAATGCCGGTTTCCACCAAAAACTTTATAAATTGTGGTGCTGTGACCACAGGATGCCACAAACAGCCATAAATGTGGGCCAGATGCCAAGCATCCAAACTGCTGTCATGTGACTGTATTTGGGGGGGGATGTAAATGGCTGTTGGAACCTTGAATGCAGGTCATAATTGTAATTTTGAATGGTTGCTAAGCGATTGATTAGTCACCCAAAGAAAGCAGTCATAAAGAATTCATCTCTCTCCATCAATTTCCCATGCTACTAGCACAACACATTTTTCACCTCCAAATTGGAGATTCCTGTAGATTCCTAAGATTCCCATCTCATAATGTGGTTATGCAGTGAAAAAAAATTCAAAGCAACAGATCCCCCTTATCTGGGTTTGTCTGGGGAAATACAGTGGATATAAAAAGTTTACACACCTGTTCAAATGCCAGGTTTTTGAGATATTAAAAAAAAACCAAGATGAATTTTTATGGGGAAATAAAAAAAATACAATAACCTGGTTGCATTTTTTACATCCACTGTATGTACAACATCAGACAGAAGCAAAAAAAAATCTAAGCCACATTTGCACTCAAATTAATGGCACCCACAACACATAGTTTTTAATCTAGAATCCGTTTCTTGCCATTCCACGGCCCAAAAGATCGGCTAAAAGGGAAACAATTGCCATCCCAAAGCGGTTTCTTTGGTCTCGGATACTTGCACTTCACTCTAACTTTCTTGCCCAGCCGATCGTTGCAAACCACTTCAATCATCTTGATCTTCACGTTCGGCTCTGCTAGAAAGCTAAACAAAACAATCAACGTCAACAACAACAAAAAGTAACCGGCAGTCTGATGTAAACCCCGAATAAAGTTAAAACCTATTTTAAGTGGAAGAACGGGAGTTCTCCAGCTTAATGGCCACTGTCTCTCAGCGTTTCTCAGCCTATGGCTGCTTGGATGTGTGAACTTCAACTCCCAGAATCCCCCAGCATCCTCAAGCAGTCAAGGCTGACGAACTCTGCTAAATAGGGTATACTGTACACACCTTGAAACTCCCCCTCTGCAACTGCTTTAGAAGCCTCCGTGTACCAGACGCGGAAGCCTAACAAAGCCCCAGTCCCTGAGGCGTGGACAGGTGGGAAGGAAAGCATGATTCCCTCAACGACCAGGCCCAACCACCAACGTGTCCCCGCTCCCCGCGCAAGAGCCCGTCTCACCGCGGAGGAGGCTTCCTTGACACCGAGGAATCTGAGCCACCACAACCCCTCAGCGGAATATGGAGAATTCTCGTCGCAGAAAAACAATCCAGGCTCCCCAACCCGGAAGTGCCGAGGTCACTCTGAAAACCGGAAGTTGTACGAACCCCTTCCGCCAACAGTTTTGCCGCTCTTCTATACCTCGGGAAGATACGCTTGTAATAAATGATGGCCGCGCTATCCCCTCCGACTCTTTCTTCTCTCCCGGACTCGCTTCTGCTCCAGATTGTGGTCTGGCTGCCGCCGCGTGACCGAGTGGGCGTGGCCAGGTAGTAGTCGGCTCCGCCTCGCGTTCTCCATTTCCATGGGAACCCTCCTCCTCTGAACGTCAACTACGCTCTCCGACAGTCCTATTTTCGGGATAGGATCGGCCGCATGCGTAGCGCTTGGTCCAACGCCGATTGATAACTGCGTCCGGGCGCTGTGCCTGTGGCGCGGGGGCTAAACTCGTCACAATGCGAAACAACGCATCAATGGGAAACGCTTTGCGCAAGGGGCAGAGAGCTCCCGTGACATCCATGTAGGAATGCCTGGCGGGGCGAGGGGAGGAAACCAACCGTCCGGGTCGTCTTGATCAATTCCTTTAGGGGAGCGTGCCTGCTCTAACAAACTTTTTCTTTCTGCAGAGTTTGCAAAAGGTGGCGTCGCTTGGTGCGGGACCACTTCTTGTGGCGACACGTGGATCTCTCTTCCAGCAGGGTCAGAAATGCCTAACTACTTTTGGTCGCATATGTGGGAAGGGCGGCTATATAAATTTACCAAACAAGTAGTTCTGAAAATAGGAGGTAGATGTTTTGGGAAAGGCATGGCAGGGAACAAGGAAAGTGACCCAGGTCAGACGCAGTACAAGAAATATACTTACAATTTAAAAGAAAGACATTTTCACAGTGATGTAATAAGTAGAATTTCTGGCAAAATGAATATTAATTTGCGTAACATATCATGCTTTATTATAAGCAATGTTCTATCTATATTTTGATATAATTTTATTCTAGTTGTGATAAATAAGAGGTACATTCACAAATGGCAAGGTTTTATCAGACCAAAAGTCTAACCTGATCAGGTTTAAACTATAGAATGCAGTCATTTCTGCACAAGAGATTGAAATTGGCACCATTGCCAGGGAAACATTGCAACCCATCCTTTTAGTACATGCATGCCATCAATTTCATATGAATGTTTAAAAGGGGCAAGGTTTGCAAAAAAATGCATTGTCTGCCATTTTGACATGTCACACATCACATAGATGCCACTGATACAAAGTTTAAAACATTGGAATACCTCCCTCTGAAAATCAGGTTGAATTATGGACCTCCTGGATACTTGAAAACTGAAATATTCCAGAGGACCAATGGTGAATGATAGAATATCTCGTGTTTTTGTTTGATTTTATTAAATTCTGATTTACTGATGTTATTTTATATTTGCTGTTTTAGTTCCTGCTGGGGATGTTTAAGTTCAGCTATTGCTTACTCTCAACTATTGGTAATCTAATGAGTCTTTTAATTATGCCTTACATAAGTTCAATAAATAGTAATAAGTTTAACATTTATTTTAATTCATTTAAAGTTTAAAGCCTTTATTGTCATTGTACATCAGGTATACAACAAAATTGGTTAATTTACTTAATAAATTTACTTAATAAATAGTAAATAAACACTCTCTTGATCAGTTGATCAACTGTCCTTTAGGTTTCCAAAGATGTTATTAACATAATTTTATATATCATAAGAAGTAGGACCATGATGGTGCATTTTTTTCGTACATGTGAAAGAATGTAAAGCTAATATTATTGTCGAAGCAGCTCATTTTGTGGCCATACTACTTTTCAGCTATATATCCAAAACTGGAAAGGGATTAAATAAATGTTTGCTTCTCCATATGGCTTTGAATATCATGCAATACAAAAGAAAAATCAATGTGATGCTGTAGTGCAGTGGCCCCCAACCTAGTGACCAATTCCATGGAGGGTAGATTTTCCGTAGAATAGGAGGCTACAGACTGATGCCAGGCCATAGACCATGGTTTCTGCCTCATTATTTGAGTCTGTAGGAATCTAATTGGGGAAAAAAACAGGCTTCAATTCAAACTTATTAAATCTGAGTTGCTTAGGGTTTTAAGGGCTCTTGGATTCTGTTATTTCCCATCTTTACTTCTGGATGGGTGTGGCAAAACCCTAAACAAAATTGAAAATTTGGAGATCCTCCTGGATTATGGTTCTTGTCTGAGGAACAGGTGGCAGCTGTAGCCTAGAGGGCTCTCACACAATTTGTGCACTTTCTTGGATTAGGAGATAACTGATCATAGCCACCCAAGAGTTTGGTCACCACCCAAATAGACTATTCATATGTGCTACCTTAGAACATCCAGAAGCTGCAACTTGTCCAGAATTGCAGTACGGACAGTCATGGGCATACTTCAATACATCCATGTTGCACCTTTGCTCTGTGAGCTGCATTGGCTCCCAATATATTGTTAGGTGCAATTCAGAGTGCTGGTTGTTACCCATAAAGCCCTTCATGGCATGGGGTCAGTTATTCATGGAACCAGTTTTGTCGGATTGTTTCTACCTGCCTCATCAGGTCCAATAGGAGGGGCATGTTCCAGGTCATGTTGAGTGAGGAATATATCAGACAGGACTGAGGAAAGAGGTATTTTCTTTCAGAGTGTATCTGATCCCTTTGGAACATCATACATGTCACGACTCGGTTAGCCCTGACTTTGCTGGCTTTTTAGAAAGCTTTAAAGACCTGGATGTTTTTCTGGCCATGGAGATAGGAACATTACAGTAATCCTCATGATGTCTGTTCTATAATCTGTGTCAGCTTAACCATAAACTTATTCTGGTGATAACACGCGCTTATCCAATTAAGGTTTTTCCCATACGTTAAATAATCTACAAATAAAGGTGAGTATTTGTAGCTCAGGGTTGATATGAGGTGTCCTTGGTGCTCTCTGAGCTTGCTTGTTTTGCAGATGTTTCATTACCCAAACTTGGTAACGTTATGAGGACCCAAATTGTTGGGGGCAATATGCTGACTCTGTAAACTGTTTAGAGGGCTGTCAAGCACTGTCTAGCAGTATATAAGTCTTAAGTACTATTGCTATCATCAATGCTAGTAAGGAGTGCAGTTTGCTGTCAGATTATATTCTGGTGGCAACACTGACAAGGGCAAGCCACCAGAATATAAACTGAACTCCTTACTAGCACTGCTGATGTTACTAGTTTGGGTAATGAAACATCTGCAAGAAAACAAGCAACCTCAGAAAACACCAAAGACCCCTCAGATAAACTACAATTCCCAACATTCTCTAAACCCATATTTATTTAAAAAGTTATACAACTTTTTAAGGTTTAGGCTAAACATTTGGGTGCTGCCTAGCCTAACCCTATTTATTCATCCACTTATTGATGCACTGAGCTATTTCATACCTGGTTTGTGATCATAGGCTTAGAAATTAAGTTTGTTTCTATGCCAATTATAATTTTCAGTAATTATATGCATTCCAATATTTCTTTTCCAGTTGCCAATTCTATTGTTTTTCCTTTCCCTTTAGATATCCTCCAAGATCTTATGGCATCTTCTACGGAACTACTTCCAAGGCAGCTTGCAGACTCTGAAGCTACGAGGCTCCCTCTTCTCCTTTCGAAAACAAGAAGTACTTACCTCAGCACTGCTGCAGGCTTTGGGCAAACAATGTCCCAAACTCCACCAATTAAGCTTGATGGAACTAGACCTCCGTTCATTCCAGTATGGCTGTATGCCTTCCTCTCTTACCACCCTGGAGCTGAGATGTTGTGAGATCCCTTTTGTTTGGCTCCAAGTTCCAGAGACCACCTGCACTTCCCCAAGAATCCAACAACTTTCAATCTGGAATGTCCCTGCTTTTTCCAACCAGCACCTATTGAATATTGCTACCCAGGGCACTCTCAAGACTCTTATCCTTTCAGAAGTGTACCGTATAACAGACGTGGGGATCCAGGCAGTAGGACCACATCTGAAAGACCTTCAGCACCTTGCCTTGTGCCATTGTAGCATTGGTGATTCAGCCATGTACTTCATTGGGCACCACATGAAGCAACTGCATCATTTAGATCTCAGGAGTAATTCTTTGACAGATACAGGTCTTCTTTGCTTAAGTGGTTTACCAAACTTAAGGACCCTTTGTTTGAGAGACTGCAGTCAACTTTCTCCAGAAACCATTTTAATGGTTTGCCAGTCACTCCCCAGTCTGAAGCATCTCGATTTAAGCAGGATAGACTTTGAAGACAAAATATTCCAAAAGATCCAGTTGAGTTTACCAAACTGTACAGTGGCAAACACCATCCTTTGCACAGATTCCAGTGCAATATCTTAGAAGATAGCAAATTTTCCCTGTGCTTGTTATTCACAGGTCAAAAGATGGCAGCACTCAGATACATCTTCTCAGCAGCTTTTAGTCCTTATAGCCCAAATGTTTGTAGCAGGCTAAAAATGGAATAGATCAGACCAAACAAGTAATATATCTCAAGGGCCACTAGTTTAACTGTTGTGCAAATTGTATGGCCAGTATTTGTACTGTAGATGTCTGCCGATGTTGACATATAATTCAAGCTTAAAGAATCCACTGTCTTCCAGTTTTTTAATATACCTCTGAACTCTCGCTAGTTCCAGCAAATATAGTCAGCTGTGCACTCTGATGGGAAAAGTAGCCAAGAATACCAGGAAACTGCCAGGTTCTAAAGTAGGACATAAGTGACTGGAGAGATTAAAAATTAAAATAATTTATGCACTGTGGGCAGAAGATGTTATTAGAAACACTATGCCATTTTAAAAACGCACAAATTTCTGGACATCTAGGACAAATTCCTCTTCCTGAAGAACTCATAGTTGATATATTTTAAAAAGCACAAAGGTTACATTTACAAAAGTGCATAATTTTCAAGGCTGACCACATTTTATTGTTTTTAAACACCATCTTATTTACTTGAAATCTGGTACAAGAATTTTGGCTTTTTAAAAATTATCTGAAGTTTGTATTCCACATTTTTTCCATGAACTCTGAAACTAATTAACTTTCAGACATGACTTAGGAATATTCCATCAAATGCTCCATTAAAAAGCCTACTATCTGGTGCCTCAGATGCATACAGAAGCTTTGGGAGTGGCCTGTACAGCCCATTCCAAAAGTTGGTTTGTGTGGTTAGCCTTAAAGTGACAGAATAGAAAAGCTATTAAATACTTAGGGAATAATACCATGGTATTGAATTATCTTTAGATTTAATTTCTGTTCTGGTTCCTTGGTTCCAAGAACATTTGGGCATTCTACCTAAAGCCAAATGTGATCCTCAGATTGAAGGGAAAAAAATCATCCTTGCACTGTTTGACCTGAAATTAGAGTGAGCCATCATATTATCCATATTTGTCATATTACCCATAAAATGCCCTTTTCTTTCCCATCCTACATCTTCTCTGCTCCCAATCATCTTTGCAGCATTGTAATACTGATCCAGCTTCCTAATATCACCTTGGTTTTCATTAGCGTTACTACCAGCAGAGAATAGAAATAAATGCCTTTGGCTGTTACAGACAATGGCTGGAACACATTGAACCATTCATTGAAGTACCACCAAGACTTCTATTTTCTGCATTCCTTAATCCTTCCTTCCCATTAAAATATATTTTTTGCTATAATATTTTCCACCAATTTCATGAGCAGCCAATGCTACACTGCTTTGTCCTCATAGCTGATGATGGCAACCTCAGGTATGGTAGGACCTTCTTGCATCTACTGTATTTCAATTTTCTTTTTGCACACATTAAACTCTGCCTTCATAAGCTTGTTGGATAGAATGAACTCCACATTAATTGTATCATGTTTGCATGACTTAATTGTATCATGCTATTGTATTTGCACCGTCTTTGCCTTTTTTCATTCTTTTCATTGCTGATTGTTGTGTCACTACGGTGACTTAAAAAATAAAGTCCTTCAAACTGAACTAGACTCCTGGTGATTTAATGAGCACGTTTATATAGATTGTTGGTTTTAGTTTTTGTAACAATATGGAATTAATTATGTCAGTGCCTTCTGCTATATTTTCTCTACTAACCAACCTAGGCTATAGTTTTTCTGGTACTTTCCCATCTAAATCTTAAACCAGGTGATTCTGTTTAGCTTTGCTGCTGCCACCTAGCTGACCCTCCTCATAAATCCTACTTTCTCATAAAAAGTTACTGACCCCTTCTGGTCATGTTTGTCACAATAATTTACTCAGCTTCTATATTCACCTGTAGCATAGTAAAATAAATTTTGGGAGAGAAACCAATTTTATTTACATTTATTGAGAATTTTACATACAATAAAAGTCACTCTAAAGGAAAGAAAGATGAAAGGAAAAAGTTATTAAATATGACTTCCAACCTCTTCAATAGATTTACAGTTCTGTAATCCTTCCCTGTTAGATATTATACAAACCCCTTTAACCCCTTAGTCCACATCTTTTTTAATCCCAAAATCATTTTTTAAGCAAAAAATTCATACAAGGTTTCCAGTCCGTTGAGGTAGATAAATACTGAGTTATTGAAGTTCATTTGCCACTGCAATTATTTTTCTATTTAGGATATATACTATTTGATTATCAGGGACCATTGGAGTAAAAATATATGGTTAGCCTAAAATTGTAATGATCATTCTGGTCACATCAGACTGCACTGCCTTTCTTTCAAAGGATGACCCAATAGGTCACAGGGTTGCCTGGTATTATATAAAGTTAAAGCATTAAATAACACATGTCGGAACAAAATCTTTTACTGTCGCCTTCTATCCTCTAGAGTCATGAGGTCTGTAATAGCATATTGACTATAAGTCTCCTTGAAATAGAATCTTGCTGGTTCAAACCTTGGCAGAAAAAAAATATTCTTATTTCCTCCGCTTCCTGTCTTTTCCTGTGCTTTTAAAAGAAATAAGTCTAACAGTTCATTGTTTTATCATATTCCCAATCACTCATGAGAGACAGGTTTCATCTTCAGTTTTCAAGGTACAAAGCTAGGGTGAACCCTTCTACCACAGGTAACTGGAAAAAATAGTGAAATGGTATAGACTGGATTTAAAAATAGGTAAAAATAGGAATCTCAAGGAAAAAAATAGTTATTTTTTTAAAAAAATGACATTTTCGCTGGGTTTTAAACCATCAACTTTCTGTTTATAAAGAGTGATAGTTTTTACAGCACTTGTGATCATTCTAAAATGTACTAGTGTCAATGGGCCATGATTCATATTCAGACTGACTTGATTTGACAACCTTCCAGCTGGGTCTCAACTGTCAGCCTCAGGAATCTTCAAGCCATGATTCATCTGAGGAAGCTGTGCAATCACAGACATCTCCTGATAGCTGGAAAAATCAGATGAAGAGAGAGAACCCCAAGTCCTAGGTCTCGATATAGGCAACAGGGAGCAGAGCAATGACAGTCAATGAGGCTCCTCGCTTGGCAAAGAATGAGGGCTGATTAATTGCAGCCAGCTACCTGCTGGCTAGTTTTATGTAGTTGCGTTGCCTTCAGTCTTCCTTGGAACCAACTTTTCAGAATTCCAGCTTGTGACTTTTGTTCGTTTATTTGCTTGTTCTTGAACCCTTAACTTTGGACTGGCTGACAGTTTGATTCCTGGAAGGAATTTGTACCATTTTATTGCTGCTTGAAATACAAATGGACTAATTCAAGCAAACTCTTTTTGCACAGACCTTGATTTATGATCTTGTCTACTGTTACCTACGTAACTCCTTAGCAACTAACTGTGTGTGTCTGCAAAGGGAGACAGAACAATTAGACATCATAGTAACCATTGACTCCATTGACGGGGTGTTCCAGCCTTCTAAAGTGATCTATGAACTGCCGTAGCAGGGTAGCCTTCAACAGATAAAAAACATGGTTTCAGAAATGGGCAGCCATTTTGGTAATGGGGCACTAAGCATTGCAGGTAAAAGATGATGGGATGTTCCCAACATGTAATTATATCTTCTTCCATTTCAGCTTAAGTATACAATGTCTTTAATGATGGAAGACACGAATAGAGAAATTTAGAAAATAATGTAGCTTGTGCATTTTTAAATAAAGCAGTATTTAAATAATATATTTATTCAAAACATATTTAAAATATGGATATACAAATATTTTTAATGATATAACCTCTTAGTCCTGTACTTGTTTATTTTTTTAACAAAGACAGAATTAAACTACTAGCTGGAAGAGAAAGGGGAATATCAGATCTAGAATTTCTGTATAAATTCATGTTCATTAATTGAAATTGAGATGGAAGAGAAATTAAGAATTAAATTGGTTGCGATAGATGCAAATGGCTGCGATGGGTGCAAATTATTTTTTTAAGAGACATTTTTACCCAAAGCAGTAAACCATTTACACAAATATATATGGTATTCAGCTTTGTTTGGGTATTTTCCCACATCATTATAGTTGTGCTTTTAAAGTTGTAGCAACGTTTCGGCAGAATCTCATCTGCCATCATCAGGCTTCTGTATAGTGACACTATACACACTATGTGTGTGTGTGTGTGTGTGTGTGTGTGTGTGTGTGTGTGTGTGTATGTGTATATGTATATATGTACAAAATGATAATTCAAATATTTATATTTTACCATTGCCATCAGAGAGTGGAGTTAAGAGGTATAGGAATTAGAGAATTGGAATAGAAACAAAAATAGGTGGGGGGGAACATTCCTAAGTGTTCCCTCAACAGTTTTGCAGCAAATACATTAAGACTTTACACACAGACATTGGTCATCATTGGACACAACTATGATGAATTTGAAGCAAACTTCTCTGCTTGGTAAAGCTGAGGAAAGGCAAGGCAATGGATAAGTGGATGAATAGGATCAGAGAAATGACAGGATTGTCCTCAGTCCAACGTATAAGGTATTACTACAGACATAATGAGATAGTCAGCATTTACACATGCAGTCACCAGGAGTTGAGCAACTAACTAATGTAACTAGAATCTTCCCAAATAGTATCAGGTTGCCTGGTTTGTAATTCTCTCTTCTCCCTTTTAAAAGACAGATAAAATTTAATTTCTTCAATTCAGTAGTCTAGCCCTTCATCAATTTTTCTAGGATTTCTCCATGATAAATGGACATAGGTTTGACCACACTGTTAGCAAGATCCTTCCATCCGCTAGAATGCTTTTCATCGGATAATTGAAATTTATTCAACCTAAATTAATATTTGCTGATTATTTTGCCATCAAGCTGCTTCACTGATGCTAAGTAAACGGAGCCAAAATAAAATCTGAACTATTTTACCTCTTGTTCTTTTTTAAATTTTTGTCATCTGTACTAAATAGATTTTATTTTTATTTTGAACACATCTAAATGAGCTTCCTCTGATCTAGGCTGGATCCTTCACTTAACCTTGGCTGACTCTAAGTAAGAAAATTGCACCTGGTTTGCCAGCTGTGTCCTTTCCTGGAAAAATAAGAACAGGCCACTTTTAAATATCCCAGTCACTTCTAGACTTCATTGCTGCAAATTATGCTATACTTTTGTTCATATTAAGCTATAGTGTGATCTTTGCTTTTTTTTGGTTTGAGGAAGGGGCGGGATTCAAATTTTTAACAACTGGTTCTGAGGGCGTGGCTTAGATTGTGGGCGTGGCTTGGTCATGTTATTGGCTGGGTGTGGCCAATTCAATATCATTCACATCGAGGCATGCATCTCCTCGCCTGGCCTGTCATGACTGTGGGGATGCTGCAACAGTCATAAGTGTGAAAAATTGTCATAAGTCACTTTTTTCAGTGCCATTGTAACTTTGAATAGTTATTCCACACAAGCAAAGTACCAGCAAAGGAGGGGAAAAAAACTCCAGAGATGTTTCTAAGACAGGAAGTCTAGTCCTGCCAAGAATGTAATGGGTTAACGGAGGGACAGTTTCTGTAAGCAACACCAGAATGTTTCCTTCCTGCCTTCCTTACAGGATTAGGCCAGTAATTTCTTCTAACAACCGGTTCTCCGAACTGCTTAACAACTGGTTCTAGTGAATAGGTGCGAACCTGTAGAATCCCACCCCTGGTTTGAGGAAACCAAATTAGTCAATTATGTCACTTTTAAAAAAAATGCTTAAGCAAACCACGACTTTGTATCTGTGTGTGGCTGCTTTTACAAACTGTTCTGAAATTACTGTAATGCAAATTAAAATAATGAGCTGCTTACTGCTATAACAGTG